CATAGTGCGCCATTACTAGTTTAAACTAGTAATGACGCACTGTGACACGGTGCGCCATTAGTAGTTTTGCCAAAAAAAGAATAAAAAAAAGAATACAGTACTGGCGCACTCCCTGGCTGGTGTGTCATTACTAGTTAGAACTAGTAATGGCGCACTTCGCTCGGATGCGCCATTACTATGTATGAAAAAATTAAAAAAAATTGTTACTAGTGGCGCACCTTTTGTCTGGTGCGTCATTAGTGTCTTCCACACTAATGGCGCATCACCAAATGGTGCGCCATTGGTATATAGTAGTGACGCACTACTTCCTTGATGCGCCGTTAGTGTTTATTCCATCTATAGCCATTTTCCTAGCAGTGAGATGCTCTAAGGAAAAAAGAAAAGAGGGAGCAGATACGGTGGGGCATCGATACGGAAACAAACTGATGGGTACGGGAAATGGAAAAACAGAAACAGGAGACGATGGGCTATCTGTAATGAAAAAAAATATACAGTTTTCCTAAAGCATCACATCTAGAGCTGGCATAAGTATTGAAATTCTAAGTATGTCATTGATCATACGCGAATATTCGTGTGGGTATTTTTTTTCCATGCTTGATTGAGTAATGCAAATGGGTATCGTCGATCGGTAGTGAAAACCAGAATGGGAAACGAACGGACGTACGACCTTCCATCTTCCGAAACTGAACAAATGAGAGTTACTACCCTGCCGGTGATCGTCGCCCTTCATAAATAGGGCAGCTGCGCACTACGTGGAGTCGATCAACAGCATGGCCTCTTCAGGCTCTCTCCTTCCCACCCTGCTGGCGTTGCTCCTGCTCCAGGTCGCCGCCACGGCGTCAGCGGCGACTATGACGACGTTCGTCCGGGCGGCCGACCTCGCCGAGCGGCTAGAGGGGCCGGTGTCGCAGCAGTGCTGGGAGACGTTGCTGCACATCAAGTCGTGCACGGGGGAGATCATCCTCTTCTTCCTAAACGGCGAGGCGTACCTGGGGCCCGGCTGCTGCCGCGCCATCCGCGTCATCGAGCAGCGCTGCTGGGCCGCCGACCTCTTGCTGTCCGTCATCGGGTTCACCCCGGAGGAGGGGGACATGCTCAAGGGCTACTGCGACGCAGGCGACGACAACGGCGGCGGCGAGGGGCAGCACCATAGCATCAGCGGATCATCTCCGGCCCCGCCGCCGCACCGTGTTCTTGATGGCGTTGCATCTGGCGACGGCACCGTGGCGGCCGCCGCGCGCGCGGGTAGGAAAGGGCTCGGTGGGCCGTTAGGCTGAGTAGTACTATGCGGTATGTGTCCACGTCCGTCCTCGTATGTTCTCGTGGGTCCTGCCATGCTTGTTGCGAAGCTGGAAGGCGAGTGGTTTCTCTGGGTTTTGTTCGTGTAACCAAATCGAGTTGCCTATTGCTAACCCCAGCAAATTAAGATCCAATAATAATGATGTAATGAAAAGGTGTACTGTTAGTAGTACTGGTTTACATCGTATTAATGTATTGATTTTCCCTTGAACTAACATTTCGAGCGACAAAATTTTGATTTCAAACGTGACACCCAATCAAAATCACGGACTTGACATGGTAAAAATTAGAGCAAGTCGCTGGGCAAGGCGCGTTCAGTTGTTCAAACCAAACCGTGCATAGCATACTCTACACAAATCTGGTAGAACGGGCTCGCACTGTCTCTGTCACGCTCAATTTACCAAGCCGGGGGGGATAGGTAGGGGCATAGGAGCCGTCGTAGTAGTTCTTCCTAAATCCTCAATCTATCAGCGCTTCAATTTATTCTTCCTTCATCCCCAATCCATCGACGCTTCGATTTATGTATCACCTAGGTGTCATGGAAGCATGTGGAGACTCTAGCGTTAGCGTCTTGTGGTGTTTTGTACTTAGGCCTAGGCTCCACCCTCCTTGAACAGTGGCTTCCCACCCCGGCAGAGAAAAACCACGAGAGGGAGAAACTCTCTCCTAACATTCTCCCGGAGGTACACGGGGGCGACCGAGAGTTCACCATGCATTGTTGAACCTCAATGTAGTCGTCATGGCTGATTAATGAAAAGTTCAAGTGCGTTTGGTCTATGCCCAACGTTGCCCCACCAACATTGGCTAGCCAAAATTTTGGTTCAGATTTGGTCAACATTGGCAAGAAAAATGAATTAGAGTTGGCTATAGCTTATTGGCATGCGAAAAAATTGGCAGCAACCCAAACAAAGACCAATTTTGATTACTTTTTTGATTTTTCAAAAGCAATTAATGGGCTAGGCTAGGTGATTTTTCAAAAGCAATTCACATGGCACCTAGCCCATGATTCACATGCCATTTAATTACTTTTTTGATTTTTCAAAAGCAATTACTTCTCAGCCGCTTATTAGAATTAATATTCGTTTTCCGCCATTGGACCTCTCATGGAGAGCTCCTCGAAACTAGATCATTTGTTTTCACAAACTTTTTGTTTGTGTAACTTTAGTGGTACAAGAACTAATTCCCTGCTTGGTTCGCCTTCCATGATGCCAGTTCTCCTAATGCCATCGTAAGTTGGCTACCATGACCGTAAAGTAGGATAATATTATCCTTAAATTTCCTACTATGAATAGTGAGTACCTTAACATTATCCAATGTTGCCTGTACAATACTTTCTAATATTGTAGGAAACTTAGTTTTCGAGGTAGCCAACTTAGCAACAAAGATATACAAGTTCCAAAGTAATATTGACAACTAAGCATCACTAAGGTAGCCTACTTAGAGATCATGGAAGGAACTTTTGGAGTGCTGCTTACCAACTGATTAGCAACGGTATGCAACTTCATAACTTGTAACCAACTTTATTTTTCCTGATGTGTGCAGCTTAAGAACCATGTTACTCACCTTTTACAGTATCCCAAGTAACTAGTTAGCAGTCGTAGGCAGTTCTGGATTCGTATTATACTGTCTCTAGGCAAATGGTGAGCGTTGAGAAATCAAGCATATTTTTCAGCCCCAACACGAGAGTGGATATCATGGAGCAAATTTGTACCACTCTTAATATTATGACTGAAGCTCGGAATGATAAATATTTGGGCCTACCGGGTAATTTGGGTATGGACAAGTCTGACTGTTTCCAGTACTTGATTGACCGTATCATTATGAAGATAAGTGGATGGAGAGAAAAACTTCTATCAACGGGAGAGAAGGAGATCCTCCTGAAATCTGTTGTACAAGCGATCCCCACATATGTGATGTCTGTCTTTAAAATTCCTAAAAAGAAACTTGCAAGGGAATCACTGATGTGATGTCACATTTTTGGTGGGGAGACGAGGACAACCAGAAGCGGATGCATTGGATGGCTTGGTGGAAAATGTGTGTACCCAAAAATCAAGGAGGGATGGGATTCCAGGATATTCATTGTTTCAACCTGACAATGTTTGCAAAACAACCTTGGCGTATTCTTGAGAATCCAGAGTCCTTATGTGCTACCGTGTTGAGAGCTAAGTATTTCCCTGATGGTGATTTGTTGAATACGAAGTTAAAGAAGGGGTCCTCTTTTACTTGCCAAAGTATAATGGCGGGGGTTAATTGCCTAAATCATGGTTATATATGTCATGTTGGAAATGGTCACAATATTGATATTTGGGAAGATGCTTGGATCCCGAATTGTGCAAAAAGAAAAGTAATCACACCTAGAGGGAGTAATTTGATCTCAAGGGTATCTGATTTGATTGGCCCTGTTACTAATAACTGAGACAAAAATCTAGTTACACAAACGTTGTGGCTAGTTGACGCACAGCGGGTCCTTGCAATTCCACTTCCCCAACATGATATGTCAGATTTTGTTGCTTGGAGCTATTCAAAAAATGTAGTGTTTTTAGTTCGACCAGCCTATGTTGTGGAATGGGAACATCAACATGGGTGAAAAATTATAAGAACTGATAATATGGGACATTTAACTATTAATCCTATTTGGAGTAAGATTTGGAAGTTATCTTGTCCAGCGAAGGTAAATTTTTTCATTTGGCGCACGTTGCACGATACTCCTACGTGTAGAGTTACTTTGGCGAATAGGCACATAAAAGCTCCCTCCAATTGTCCTTCTTGTCCCTTGGGACAAGAGGATACAAAGCATGTGTTATTCCAATGTCAGAAAGAAAAGGAGGTGTGGAGAGTGCTGGGACTGGATCAGGTCATTAAAAGAGCATGCGAAGTTGATTATGCTGGTGATGTGGTCCTCGAGTTTTTACTCTCTATACCTGAAAATGAGCTAACTATCTTGGGTAGTTGGAGTGTTCGTGAAATGATTGCAAATACAATCTTGTATTTATGGTGGGAGAGGCGAAAATTATTCATAAAGGGAAAACCCAAGATGTCAACCAGATTTCAATGGGGATTCGTGCTATTACGTTAAACTTTGTTATGGCCATATCACCGAAAGCTACTATGAAAAGAGGTGGATGGATACTACCTCCAAGGGGGTTTATAAAACTTAATGTGGATGCTTCTTTTGATCACGACCTACTTAGGGGCACGGCCGACGCTATTTTGAGGGACGATAGAAGAAAATTCATTGCAGGGGGAATTGGAGAATCGATTGGTGCACGGATGTTCTGACGGCGGAAGTTTTGGAGCTCAGATATGGTCTATCCATTGCTCAAAGGACGGGTTGCAACTGTATTGTTATTGATAACCTAGAGGTCATTGAAACCATGAACAACGAAGAACGAACGACGAGTACAACAGTGGCAGTGTTTGACGATTGTTACTTCTTGGCTTGTGATTTTTTAATTACTAGATTCGAGCACTGTAATAGGTAGGCAAATAAAGTTGCCCATGAACTTGCTAAGTTAGCTAAATTTTCTTCAACTTTTGACTGGTTTGAGGAGTCTTTGAGTGAAATTGTACCCCTCCTCATAAACGATGTAATTGTTTTTGAAAATGAACAAAGATATGTTTTCTTTCAAAAAATAGACCAACGGTGTACCACCTTCAACAAACAAGAAGGTTGGCTCATGTGACACTGAAGTTGGTTCTCGTAGCACTAAAGTTGGTCATGGTAGCCAACTTACCAGAGTCTAAGACATGGAAGGGGGCCTAGTAGAAAGTTGGTTTTGGTAGCGCTTAAGTTGGTTCTCATAGCATTAAAGTTGGTTCCCGTAGCACTAACATTGCTCAGGAAAAAAAATGTCATCAAAATGTATCAACATGAGATTTAGTTTCGAAGAGTTTGTGTGAGAAACACAACGGTAAAAGGGATCTTAATTTAAATGCATGGTTTAAAAGTTATATCCTTTTGAATTTTCTTGTGTTGAAATTAGCTGCATGTGAAGCTACAATATTGCGACGTGGGCAAACTTGGACCACAAATCAGCATGCATGTGGGCAAACTAGAACCACAAATGTGCATGCCGCCTCAATGGCACGTTAAAATTTTCCATCTTCACAAGTGTGTAGACACGGGCCAGAATGTCATGAAATGCTAAGGCGATAGGAGGCGACCGCAAGGCGATCGCGTTTCTGTGCTAGGGTTAGGGTTTCGCTGTACGGGGGTGGCTAGCCTCCGGCTGGGATCAGGGAGGTGACGACGTCTCTCGGGACCAAGGCCGGTGAAGTTGTCTTACTGCTGTGGAGCGGAGCTAATGGCAGGAACGGTGGATGAGAGAGGGTGGGATCGGCGCGGAAGAACAACCCCACTAACTCGGCGGCGGCAGCGGCTGCAACACCGGCGCGGGAAGTTGGTAATTCTGCAAGCAGAGGGTCCTCCAAATCCCCTACCGAGTGCAAGACGCCGGATCCGGCCGCGAGCCTCTCAGCAAGGTTGGGGGGATGGTGCTGATGGACAAGGAGGTAGAGGGGATTGTGTTTGAAGATCTGAATCCAGATATCCATAAGAAGTATCGATGGTCGGCTGTGGGTAAGGTTCGCTCGGCAAAGCCAATGAAAATGTCAGCAGTGGAGAAGACCATGCCCAGGGCATGGGGATTGCACACAGAAGCCAAGTTCAGCGAGATCGGGCCAAATATCTTTGAGGTGCACTTTGGATCTGAAGGAGATTGGCGACATGTCCTACACAGCGGCCCTTGCAGTTTGATTTTGGTGTTTTGATTATGAAGGACTACGAGGGATACAAGCGACCGTCTGAGATGGTGTTTGATAAGATAGACATCTGGGTTCGAATTACTGATCTGCCGCCTGACAAGAGGATGAAGACGTTCAGGAGAGCTTTGGGAAACTAGTTGGGTGAGACTGTAAGGGTTGATGTGGACAAGGACGGCTTTGCCAGGGGACAGAATTTGAGAGTAAGTGTCAAAAT